ACTGCTTCCGAACGGCGCCGCCCGGCCGCGCCCAATTTTGATTAGCTGTAGACATTTGAATAGTAGATCGTCTTACGTAAACAATTTAGATTTGCCTCGTAGGGTCGCTGACCTATGGCAGGTCAAATTCAGGCATGGTTTCAGCAAGGGCAATTTCTAGGGAATCGTTCAATCTGATACAACAACTGAGTGTTTGACGAAGCCATGCATCTCTGAGATACTTTTTTAGGCACCACAAGTATTGAATGAGCAAATTACATTGACCTAAGGTCAGGTATGAAGGTCAGACCAAGGTAAAAATGAACCTGATTTATTACTCTATAGCTTGCTGTATGGAATAGTTTCTGGTGCTCATTTCGAATTTATTAACAGCAAGAATCGCATTATACATCTTCCATTGACTTCCTAGAGATCAGAACAGGTCATTGACCAAAGATGGCCCGGGTCGTCGTTTTGTTTTAGGAGCATACTGCCTGCCGGATTCTTTGTCGCTTATTCAAATGCAAAAATCAGAGCAGTCTTGTATGGTTTTGGTCATCACGGCCTTCAAAAGGTCAAACAAGGTCACTGACCTCAAATGGGCTTGTGGCCTTTTGCTTAGGAAACAGCTGTCTAGGTTCTGGGGGCACTTTGGAGACCAACCTGGAGTTTGACCTTGTTTGACCTTACTTGACCTGGAGGTCATTACCTAGGAAGCTCAAACTTTGACCTAAGTGAGTTCACGTACAGGTCAAGACACCCTGTAAATTTGGTGTATTTAGCTTTCTTAACTCCCGTGATCTCAGAGGGGTTCAAATTGACACCCCCCCCCCCCCTCCCCCCACCCCCACCCGGGCGAAGGGTTTCTAGCCGGCCACCCGGGCGCGTGTTAAAGAAAAGTGAAGTGTGGTTTTTGTTTCAGCGTTTTATTTATTTGCATGAATGTTGAATAGTAATTGTGGATCATCATCAATGCCCACGTCTGTACCCTCCCTGTGTGCAAGCTGCCACAAGGTGATGATGAGGAGAGCCTGCCAAACGCAGCTCCAGCTCACTCCAGTTATTTACCCATCTCTCCCAAAAACAGCGGAGCGCGTAACTTCGTTGACTTCAGACAAAAGGACCCCTCCCCCGCCTGATAACTGCTCACTGAAATGAGGCCAAGTTTTGATAATTTGGTCTACTGGTCTGTCTGCATGAAATCGTTCATTTTTCCTCTGCTTAACTGGTGTGCTATGTGTGTGATAAGTTTATATGACTTCGCGGCCTTGCTGAGAAAATGAACATACTTATATTTCTTCTTTGTGTTGTGTGTTGGCGGCGCATGCTGATTTTTGGAAGGTCCTGAATGTTAAGATCTGGTAGAAATACTTGAGTTTGCCTGTTTTTTCCAGTTTGTAAAGTATCAAAATTGTAATCCCGCAACAAGCTTTCCTAAGTCTGGCCCAAGGACCCGGAGAAACGCCTGTCGGTGCCTGACGGTCAGATGTGGTGTCCTTAAAAAGAGAGTCTGTTGTCCGTGCAGTTCGCAACATCCGCGACTGAACAATTCTGTGTCGCACTTAATAGAATTCACACCCGATCCGGAGAGTACTACGCTAAATATTGCTCGAAAGTTCTTGCTCCAAGCTGGTTGAAATTTAAACGTGCATGTAAGTGTCGGCTTAAACCGCCGAAGTGATACTGTGGCGTCTTGACATTAAGGTGTCGGCTTAAACCGCCGAAGTGATACTGCGGCCGTCTTGACATAAAGGTGTCGGCTTAAACCGCCGAAGTGATTACTGTGGCCGTCTTGACATGAAGGTGCCGGCTTCTAAACCGCCGAAGTGATACTGTGGCCGTCAGAGGGCGTTTCTCGGGTACTATAGGTGGCGCTATACACCAGGCCAAACCAGTCCCGGTGGAACAGGCAAACTGGAGCCCCCGCGACGCGACACCTAGTGGTGTGCAGAGTCACCTTTGCTTCGCGGTTTTAAACATCAGGTCCAACGTTGTGCAACGGTAAGTGTTTATTGAACCTCGATCAGTGTTTATCAGGCAAAACATTGGCCTGAGGCACCGCGGACATTCACGTCCGCGGTGCCTCAGTCTCCAGTTCGTAGCGCCTGCAGCTTATTTTATGCGAGCCGTCTGCTCAAGACCTCAAAGAGGTATAAACTCGAAAGCTTTTTGATTGTTTTACTTAGATAGGGGGAGGATGGGCTGTCAACAAATCGGATAACACTAAAGAGGGCGTTGATAGTCGGCGAGAGTGTGACAGAGCCACGAACGTATTTTCCTATTCAGACCTCCACAGTTTCACCAGATGAATGAGGGGACGGGTGGGGGGTGGGGGTGCGCTGAACAGAAAAACATGACCCAATCTGCCCACAAAATATGTCAACAGTCAAGTTTCTCCACATTTGGCCCGCTTTCTTTCCAAAGTGGGGGGCGTGGTATGGAGCTCAACTTTGGAGAGAGAACCAAGCCCCAAACCATCCCCAACCCCGTTGCAAGGCGATGATATTCAACTTTGGTATACATGCCTATATATATATATATATATATATATATTATATATATATGTATATATATATATATATATATATATGTATATATATATATATATATATGTATATATATAGTTAATATTTCTTGTTTGGGGGGATTAAATGTAGGTGCTGCCTATGGTCGATTTGCTCCCTGCAATGCTTGGCATTATGTTCAATGCCAAAAATGCTGTCGGTTCATGGTCAACCCACTTCATCTTCTAGTGTCGGATACACGGAGACTAGACGAGAAGTATGCGCTTGCTTTTGGGGTCCCGGGGTCCCTCGATCGGCTCAAACGAACCCCGGTCAACCTGTGACCATGTTCGGGCCTCTGGAGAGTTGAGGGTCTCCGTTACCAATATGAAACGGGCCTTGTTTCCAGGATCCGTCCCGGGCAGTAGAGCCGAGCAGAGCGAGGAACCGGGTTCACGAATATGAGGGAGCCTTCTCTGGCGCCGCATTGGGCCCACTGAAGCATGGACAGGGCTTCCCAGTTGACCAGGGATCTGATGCTGAACGAGGGACCCTCGAGAGTGAACAGGGCATCCCTGACACTGAACAGAGGCTCCCGGAGCTAGACAGTGGATCCGCGACACTCACGAGAGGCTCCGTGCCGGCCAGAGGCCACATTAACCGAACAAGAACAGGGCCATGGTACTCGAATGCCAGCCATGAAACCTGCCCTTGTGCCACTCGGGAGAGCCCTGAGACAATACGGAAGTCCCCAGAGTTGACTGGCCCTGGCCCTGGTAACCTTGCCGATTAGGGGATCATGTGCGAGCCGGGCAGGCCCATGCACCGATGATGCCTATCATGGCGCCTCCAGCGTCGCTGAGGAACACGCTGAGATAATGAGAGGGCCACATTGTCAACCACGAGGCCCTGGAGCCCCTAAAAAGGATCCCTCCGTGCTGAATATGAATCTTTGCCGACCAAGAGACCCGGTAGCGAAACTGAGACATGACCAGGGTCCCACTGTTAGCCAGAGTGCCACCTGCAGTACTCGGGGCCCATGAGACAATAAGTCTGGCCTTTGTTTACCAGGGACCCCTGGTGGTGGTGCTTAACAGGGTCCCTGGTGGGCACAAACGGCACGTGTTCTGTAGAGGCGAAACATAGCCGACCAGGGAGGTCAACACCAATGTTTTTTTGTTTACTACTTTCCGTTCAACATAGGGCTGGCAACTTTGACTGACTGGCGTACGCGATGCCAAAGTGATCAATAAATTATGCCATCAATGCTCATAAAGCTGGTGCCTCATTCAATAGAGGTAGGTGGGGCCAGAGTCTCCGAATACCAAAGTCTCCTTTGTCGCCCGGAGGCACCCTGAGTTGAGCCGCCATAATTCGAGGCGCACGTACACGTAATTTTGTTCACGTTCGCACGCAAATGTGCTACTGTAAGTACTCAACAAATGAGGGATATCATGTAATTATAATTACATTCAGAATTGCCAATGCTGGTGTGCGCAAAGAAAAGCGATTTTCACACATCTGCGGCGCACTAAACTGTGTTTTTAGCAAGCATTTCTTTGGTTGTCCCCGCCCCTCCCTCCCCAGCCGCGAATCTTGTATAACGGTCTTGCCCAAAGACATTGTTACGTTGTACAGTTGTGACTGAGCTTCGCTAAGATGCACTGGTTGTGCTCGGCAAAGATGTCTCAGCAGGCATACATTTCATGCAGAGGGACCTGCGAGGGAACAGCCACCGTTCGGATCACCTGCAGATTGCCGGTATGTTCGGCTCTACGCAGCCTCGTGACCCTCGTGGCGTGCCCTCGTGACTCATCCTCGCTGACCTGTTCGGCTCTACGCAGCCTCGTGACCCTCGTGACGTGCCCTCGTGACTCATTCTCGCTGACCTTTCATCTTACGATCTTCCGGGAACAGCTCCTTGGAAATTGAGACACGAGCTCTTGGAAGAACCATCTTCATGCAAAGCCAGCTCTGCCTCATTGCAGGCATCCTTACCTGAGCAATGACTGGCCACCAGACTGTTTTGTCAACTTAACCGCATACGGACACCGTATCCCAGTTCAGTGGGTGCCGACGGCCGAGGCTTCCGGTTCGGGTCCGAGATCAAAGTCGGCGCCGGCCGCCACATGTGCACACGCTGCGAGCAGCAGCCGGCCACGCGCGCCACCACACACGCCGCTGGTAATCCCGCGGGTCCCGTCCTGCGGATAGTGAGAGAGAGGGAGGGCACAGGCGGTTCCAGAAACAGCCTATGAGGAGGACGAGACCCACAGACTGAGGACGGTCAGCTGAGGGCGTCGCGCCGGCGCGACCCTAGAACCGCCCTTGTCGCGTTTGGCCCTCACAACACGGCCGGCCGGTAACGTAAATAAACATTATAGTGTCGGGTGTCGAAGGAGGGGGCGGCGGGAGGGGGGTCGGATGCGGTGACATCGCGGGCGGGGCCAGTGGTGCTCGTCTGGTGGTGGGTCCGGCCGGCGGACGTGGAGGAGGCCACCACAGCCCGGCGTCTCTGCCTCAGGATCGCGTCATAGTCGCCGGAGAGCCGTTGTGTACGTTGGCTATCGCGTGCGTTGGCTCGTTGTCGTCGGGCCGTGTGGACCACCCTTCAACGGTGAGTTAACGAGCCACGCGACAACCGCGGTGCAGTGGGTGCGTGGAGTGGGGCGCGCGCTGTCCTGAACAGGGTGCGGACAGTAGCAGCGACCGTGATTGATACAGAAGTACTCACTTGCCCCATTCCGATCTGTTTTGGATCATGTCCTTTTCTGTGGTCGTTCGTTTATGTGCCAACGTGAGACATCGCATGATTTAAAACAATCATGGCACCACCGCGTAACTGCCACGGACACCATTGGTGCATGCTGCGGCGGACGCCACTCGCCACTCCTGTTTTCCGGAGCGTTTTCAGTTGGGATCTGCATTGATGGCGTTTATGTATGATTCGCCAGGGGCAGAATGGGTCGAATCTGGATCGCAGCCCTCGTGGTCTGCTGCTGCTTCACATACACCACGGCAGCCTACAATAATAATAACAGACGTGAGTACAGAGCATCTTACGCGATCAGCCAGTGATTAGGCTTGTTGAGGCAGACAGGGGTACTGGAAAAACCGTGTTAGGTGTGGATACAATGCAGATTTCCTTAAGCATTTCCTCCTCAGCAAGTTCCGTTAGAAGTTACTTAGATATGTTTTTAAGTAGATTTGCTTGTTAAGTGCATTTGCAAGGAGCATTATGTTCGTAGATAATTCCGTGGTAATGGTCTTATTCCTTGTAGGAAAACCAGGAAAATGGAAATATAGATGCGTAGATATTTCGGCAGCATGCTTTTATCGAAACGAACAGCAGAAGTGCTATTCGTTACGTTGCAAGTACGTTCGTTCCTCTGCTGTGTTTCGGTAAAGGCATGTTGCCGAAATATCAGCGCACGTATACCTCCACTCTCCTGCTTTTTTACGAGGAATAGTATTACTTTTGTCGCATCTATAGATATGATATTCATACAGGATGTGTTAAAAATTTACTACATATGTTATGCATGCACTCCGCAGTATTTCTTGAAACATCTCATGGTTAAGATTTTGGTTAAGTGTCCCCGATCTCATGGTTAAGTATTTCGACAGACAAGTAGACTGCAGGCATATAACCCAAAGCGAATGGGCATTTATTCTCAATGACACCAACTTAAACAGGTACTTGCTTTGTGTTAAATTTTTTTTCCGAGCATCGTAGTTCGGGCACTTCTCGTGTCCTCGTTAGCTGGTTAATGCTTATGACAGAAGACAAGAGGACAAAGGATCAAGCCAAATGTCCATCTAAGAAGCTACAGCAACATGATGAATGGTGAAAGATCACCGTTGAAAAGAATCCTTGTCCCCAAATAAGCCTATCATTACATTTCACATTACGCATCCGATATTATACAAAAAAGAAAGTTGCTAACGGTAAGAATTATTTACCACTTTTAAGTGGTGAAAGCCTACTTTTCCAGGCAGGATTTTTTCAGTGATTCTATGAAAGCATAAATCATACGTGTACACATAGACACAGTGTAGCTTTATTAACTGTAAGACTGAGATATGGCGATTTCAGCAGCACCCCTCAAATAAATAGATGGATTTTGTGTGATACATGGGATTGCGAGATGGCAAGGAAATGAGGTTCTGGATTTTATGAAATTTTAACGACGCCAGAACTGCTCGGGCTGGATGATTCTTCATCACACAACTCATATTCCTTGCAGTTTGATTTATCTTGTATTGCACGAATATAATTACGATGCATCGTCTCCGGTGTTTTGTATCAGCTCCGTCGAAATGTCATGATGGAAAACCATCCATTTGCGCTGGAAGCATCGGGGAAATTGTGGGATATATTCTGCAAAGCACACGTGTTTCAGAACTTCTTAAACCTCTCGCTGGTCAACGGCACCTTGCAGATTTCGTTGATTCAGTCTGAACGGTCCACGCTAGGGTTCGTAGCCGGGAACCAGATCGATAGACAGCTCCCGTACCAAACAAAGGGTTTGCTATTTTGGAGCCTAGGGAGCACGTCACGTGCAGCAGTTGATCATGCGATCCGTGAGCTGCACGTGAGCCATCCCTGGTGCAAAACAGCAGCAGCCCGTGACGGAGCGCGCAGCTGAAGGGATGAGCAGTGACAGGGACCAGTGCAGTCCCTGAGTCGTTGAATACGTCTCGTCAGCTGGTGGCACTCGGGCGCCACATCCGCGTCACAACTGCGTCACAAACTGCGTGGACGTCGGTGACGCTTCGAGGTACTGCGTGGCGTCCTGGCACCACTGCGTTCTCCGCTGTAAACATTCGCCGTCCAGACAAGATGAAAGGAGAGTTCTGGAAGCCGTATCTCAGTCAGGAGTGTGTCGTCGCACTCCGGTTGCAGTGCTATCAGGGCCGGGGAAGCGGCTTACGTTACGACGCCGCATGCTGGAAAGTACGAGCGATTACACCATCCTGTGGTCGAGTACTGTCAGTGCGGCTGTAGCATAGTCTTGCGGTCTTGTTTTCTCGGCAGCGTGCATCCACCCAGTGATATGATAGAAACTAACGGCAGAACAGTGCAGGCTATTCTTCTGTTTTTTTTCTTCAGTTGCTCTCAGCGATGGTTTCCCTCGATCTTGTGACGTTTGATGTGCGGGTGACACATTTATCCGAAAGGTCGTCAGCACTTCCCACGCTAGCCTTCTTTGAAAGCGCTCTTTAACGCAAATGTCATGATCATCAGACAGGGAGCTGACATGATGCCAAATCTGATTTCAGTGCAAATAAGGTACACACGAGCGAAAACCGTGTAATGTCGCCAAGCATATTGAAGTAGACGGTTTATCTTACTCTGGAGTTGCTTGTGTTTCGCTATCACATCCTTTATCGTTATATCACGTGAACGGTACGCCACGATTGGTCCTAGATCAAATTCGCGAATGTAAAATGACGAAAAGAAACACGATGACGAAAAAGGCGCCTTCGAAGCAAAATCTACCGCCTGTTTTGATCATCCTAACAACAACAGATAAAGTTCGCCTCTTGTTTATATTAATTCTCGTAGATTTCGGACTTGTCAGTAAATAAAACCCCTGTCCCCGTAACTTCTGGTCTCCATAATTTGATGGCATGCCTTATGTGTTTGTGTGGGAGGGGGGGGAGGGGTGCGGGTCCCACTGTGGTAATATGATTTGCTGGGCAATGTGCAGAAGTCAGCCAAGTGGTGTTGCTGATCACCTGACGCAAAGAGATGAATTCCCTGGTTGCTGTTGTCAAAGGGAATGCGAAATGAAAAAGCACAAACATGACCGAAATAAACTTGTTTATAAACTCAGTACGTCAGGTGTCTGTGGTAAGCGACTGCTGAGTGAATTGGCGAAATTCATACTAATGGACAGCTGTGCCCAAAACGCGTTCTTGCGCTCAGCAGATTGAGCGCTGTTTTCACGGACGCCTGAGGTCAACGACGTGCGACATGGCCGCGCTCGGTCGTAGCGCCGCGCGTCCCGAGAGCGGCTGAGCCAGCTTCCGGGAGGTGGATGATAACGTGGGATGGATGGGGGCAAGGCCAAACTCATGATGGACTCCGGGTAGCGATACATTATTCCTTAGAACAGCATGGGAAAGAGCCTGCTGAATCACCCGCCCGCATTTGGCGGCCGTTTTGCGCCGCCCGGGGCGTCCGGCCGATGGTGCGGTCGGCTGGCGGGGGCGGCCAGCAGGCTCTTCGCCAGGCTGTAAAGTAACCAGGGGGGAATTTTTGGATTAGTTGACGTCCCGCACTCTTCATATTAGGAACCTAAGAGTGCTTTCATCTGCTGCCATCTATTGCTGCCACCTACTTATAATTCGTGCTGTCGAAGAATAAGACGTATGCCGTTTATATTTCGCTCCCTTCCTCCCCTACACACAGTGCGAACGATACAAAAAGTGAAGTGTTTATTTTCTCAAAATTCATCTCCCATAAAACTTTGAAAACACTCACAAAAGCATCAGTCCGAAGGAGTTCAAGTAATTTATCATCCGCTTCGTGCATATGGAAGTTCTAGAGTTGAACGGGCCTGTTCCGTGTCCAGTTCCGTGTTAAACGGGCCTGAACCAAGCTGAATGGTGCAGTTCCTCAGCAGTTCACTGATTCGACTCTCTCATGTGTGCCCGTTTCAGAGATGTGGTTGCCCGTGATGTGCTGAACACACGCAGGTAACCGTCATTGAATCCTGTCAAGCAGTTAGTTAATGCGTATGCTATACCTTGAATCGTGTTTTGAGTGAGACGATTGCACCGGTTCGAGGCTGACCTGATCGCCGGCTGCCTTCCACAGGTCTGCACCGCGTCAGCCTGAATGAGCTGCGCCAGGTCATTCGGGACGACCTCGTCGGGGTGGTGGAGAACGCACTCGTCTCCATGGAGATGGGCCCGCACTGCGTCGGGCGCCATGAGGATCGGTGAGTTGCGTGATCTCAGCACCAGATGGCAGAGCTCCAGGTGGTGGAGAACGCACCCGTCTCCATGGAGATGGGCCGCACTGCGTCGGGCGCCATGAGAATCGGTGAGTTGCATGATCTTAGCACCAGATGGCAGAGCTGCAGGTGGTGAAGAACGCACTCGTCTCCACGGAGATGGGCCGCACTGCGTCGGGCGCCATGAGAATCGGTGAATTGCGTGATCTTAGCACCAGATGGCAGAACTGCAGGTGGTGAAGAACGCACTCGTCTCCACGGAGATGGGCCGCACTGCGTCGGGAGCCATGAGGATCGGTGAGTTGCGTAACTTCATCCCCAGATGGCAGAGCTGCAGCTGTCGTCCGGCCCGGCCCGGCACGGCCCGGCTCTGAAGGCCTTTTCTGATCGCTGCGCTCACATTCTGTGACATTGTGTACTGCCGACATACTGATGTGTGTCGCATGTCAGCTGCGAAGACACTGTAACTGGATTCCAGACGGCAGGAGATTTGTATCAAACGCATGCCACTTGCTTCCCAAATTACACCACAGAGACAGGTAAGGGGAATTGTGATTGGCCCAAATTATCAGCTCAAGGACACTATGAATTGCTGCCTTGAGGTTCGCGTCCCAGTTCGCACTGGTAACTTGTAAACCGTCGGAAAATGTCGCACGGGGCGTTATATAACAAGGTAGAGTGGTCTGCTTTCATACGGGGTCAGAGCGTTGCGTTCGAGGGCGTGCAGCGACGTTCTTGCGTCCGGACCCTTAATCGATCCTTTTTGATGGCGCAATATTGTTTATTTACGTGATCGAAAAGTTCAACAGGACGCGTTTGCGGACTTCGATATTTGCCACACATGCAAAACGTGGGTCCGTTCGCCGCCAGTGCCTGTTAAGACCTGCGCTGCGATTGCAACACCTGTTCTGAACAATCCGCGCTATCTCGTAGATGTAATGTGGACTAAGCACTGAAAACTTAGCCTGAAAATACAAATATTCACACAGCGTTTCGGTGAATGAAATCAGTGCAGTACAGTGCGAGGAATGTCCGTATGATATCTGCGTACATCACGCACAGTACGTACGTCGAGTTGAGCATTTAGAAGTGTTCGCTTGTCAATGCGTCATCGCTCGCTGTGGATGCCAAATGGGCTTCGTTATCGTTAGGATTTCCTGGCTGGGGCTAAGCAGCTGTGATGTCGCTACGGCCAGCTCCTTTCTGCGGTGTTTGGCGCCGGATCGCTCCCCGGCCACGCGTGCCGTGCGGAACACGCCATGTGATTTGCACATTTGTCAGAAAATGCGTGCTGCCCACCGTTAGACGGGCATAACCTGGCGTGACCTTTTGGCATTCGCGGCCCGCTAGCTCCCATGATAACTGAAGGCCGAGTACTATCGCAACTATAAACTGACAACGGCATGGTGCACCAGGTAACGTCCGGCGACTTAATCGTAAAGCACATGCAAACACGCCGTCGCGCCGTCGTATCGCGCTTGCGTGAGGCGCGTCCCACCCCAGTCTGTGTTGTAGCGCCTGCACTGACTGCCCCCCCCCCCCCCCCCGTCCCGTCCGCCAGACGAGAAGATCACTACCTCTGTGGAGGCGACTGTGCGCACCATGACCAACTCGATCCAGGAGACGCTGCGCCGGTTCGAGACGCGCCTGATGACGATCGAGGCGCGCCTGGACGGCTCGGACGAGCCGCTGGCGCGCAGCCGCTCGCGCCAGGACTTCGCCTGCAACGAGGCGCACGAGCGCAGCCTGCAGCAGGGCGTGGAGCGCATCACCAACATCTTGGGCTCCGTGACGGAGCGTGTCGCCGAGGCGCGCGACGCCAGCTCGGCCGCCGAGCAAGGTGTGACCCGACTCAACGAGCGCCTGCCAGCCGCCGAGAACAGCATCAAGCAGGAGCTGGAGCACTCGGTCGGCGTTATCGAGACGGGCGTGAAGAGGCAGCTACAGGCGCTGGCGCTGGCGGCGCCGCGCGCGCCCGAGCCGGCCGCCTGCCCCGGCCAAGACCTGACGGCCACCCTCAAGCGGATGGAGTCAGCGCTGACGTGGCAGATGAACAAGGTGGAGAACGCGGTGACGGTGCTGCAGACTGGCGCCGAGCGTCAGCAGGGCCGGCGGGAGGTGGACCGGGACGCCGCCCACCAGGTGGAGCCGCTAGAGCGTGAGTACCGCCGCGCGGCCGGCTCGGCCCAGCCCGCGGCGCTCCAGCCGAGCGGTCCGTGCCCCGCTCCTGCCGCTCACAGCGTCCGGAGCCACAGGTCCGCCGTCTGACCTGCAGCTAATCAGCGGCTAAACTAGCAGCTTTCCTTCGTGCACAGCCACGGTATTTATCAGTATGTTTGCCAGACATTAGCCTCGGACAGCTGTCGAGACGGACTTGAAAGTACCTCATTTTTGTAGCACTGAGCATGGCATTCCATGGAGCATGGCCTGTCATTAGTGCCCGCCCCGTGGTCACTTCTGGTGTCCTTATCCTCCCGAGAAGCCTCGTGCACCGGTTCGCCCACGCTCCCCTCCCGCTGCAGGCAGCCCAGAGACCCTGAAGAGCTGCGCTGAGCTGCTGGAGAGGGGTTTCACGGACAACGGGCTCTACTACATCCGGCCGGCGCCCGGCCTCGCCAAGGTGCGCGTCTTCTGCGACATGACGACCAAGGGCGGCGGTTGGACCGTCTTCCAGCGGCGCGGGCCGCACCTCAAGCGCGAAAGTGAGTGCACGCCCCGGCCCCGGCCGTCTGTCGGCTCCTTCTGGGCAGCAGGAGCATTGACGGCAGGCCCCACCTTCTGGTACACACACACAAACACACACACACACACACACACACACACACACACACACACACACACACACACACACACATATATATATATATATATATATATATACCGGCTTTTCGCGGGCTATCATATTTCGATAGTGGGTGCCGAAATGGAAACATGAGTGAAAGGTATATTTTCAATTTCAATTTTCAGCAAACACTTAAAATTTTCAAATGTACAGCAGGTTAATGAGTAATTCAATAACAGAATAAAAATGCGCCGCGCTTTATTTGTAATGCATGAAGATGTAACGCTAACAAAGAACATTTGGAGAATAATTGTTTTTGCAAATTTGTGCTTTCCAACTCATATCATGCGACTTTGTAAACGTTTAATGGTAGTTGGCCTGGCAAGGGAGACCACAGAAATGTGCATAAAATTCCAGGAAAGTCCGCCGATGAGATTCCCAGACGCTAAAGGAGGGAGAGAGCCAACGTTTCGTGAATCCAGATCCGTAAGAGCCGGACAAGGATGGGTTTAATGCAGATTCGCAGGGGAAACTTAACGAAGCGCTGAGAAAGCTGTACTATCTCCTGGTTTCTCCACAACTCTGGGTTTTCCGTGATCTAAGCGTCTACGCCCTCGCTTTTGTGAGTGAGCTGAGCGCCAGCAGGCCTCGCCCTGATCTAGCCTCCGCCCGCGCAGACTTCTTCCAGGACTGGGACGCCTACAAGACCGGCTTCGGCGGGCCGGAGGGCGAGTACTGGCTGGGTAACGCCTACCTGCACGCGCTGACCGCGCCCGGCCGGCACCGACTGCGGGTGGAGATGCTGGATTGGAACGGCGCCAGGACGTTTGCCGAGTACGCCCGACTTCAGCGTCGCCGACGAGGGCGACAAGTTCCGGATTCGGCTGGGCACCTTTAGCGGAGACTCGGGTGAGCACGGCTCCGTTCATGCACAAAACGCTATCCGAAGACCCGACCGGAGGTGGGTATATACATGTAGAATATAAAAGTGCAGTGTAGGATGACGAAGCACTTGATGACGCAAGCATGCAAGGATGACGCATTTAAAGATACTGATCGGTCCCAGACTGCCCGAAACAGGGCAGTTTTGGTGAAAAGATGGGGGCAAGGGTCCAAAGAGATACAGGTGGACATCGGGAGTGTATTTTCGTGAGACGTAGGTGTGCACAAATTCTAGGGAAAAGCGGGTGATTACAGGACTGGATAGAAGTGACCATGGGACCGGCGACAGGCCGCGTGACCCGTCGTGACCCATACGATATTGGTGCTTACGAGACCTGAGCGGGGGAGGAGAGAGTCCTCCGGGGTGGGGGATCGGGGTGCGGGGCGACGATCGCCAAGATATAAATGGCCACGTGACTGGACGGATGATACCGTTATCGCACCGGCCCAACGCCGCCTGTTAAATAAGGGATGATCTCTGCAGGATGGCCGTGGAAAGTGACGGACGTGAATCAGGTCCGAGGCGGTGTTGGCGTCACAGAGACGGGAGGGGCGGTAGTGCCGGGGTCCGAAGCAGCCACCTGCTGACGGCAGTTCGGCGTTTACCCGGGCGAGCGGAGCCGGACACGCCACTGGCCGGCGGCTGGCCGGGCCGTCTCAGGGCTCCCACAGACTGCCCGGAGTCGGCTTACGGCGTAAGCCGCCATCCCGCTGGTGTGCCCAAAAATGTCTGCAATTTTAAGCGGGCCGCGGATGCCAACCGGAGGATCATCGCAACCCGGACAGGGCCACGCTGCCGCCAGCCGGTGGCCCGCTAATCGTATTAGCTCGGCCGACGCGAAAAATCGTGATCATCGCGGGAAATTGCGGAACTGCAGGCGGATCTGGCGGCGCGGGCGCATGACCGTTGTATTAGCCGCGGATCGACGCGGGGGCCGGCTCGGCTCAGTGGCAGCACGCCCATCCGCTTTGCCGCGCGGCCTGATCGGCTAATCGGGCGCTGAGGGGGCGGCGCGCGCGGTCGCCGGCGACGCCGCCGGTGACGTGGCCGCGGCGCCGGCCGAAGCCGCCCGCCGCTGCCGACCGCAGAGCGCGGCAGGCGGGCGGACGAGACGCCGGCTCCACGGCCGCCGCCGGCCTGAGGGCCTCGAGGCTGGCAGACGTGCTATTATTCGTCCAGCTGGTATATAACTCATGCGATTTATTGTGAGATAGAAGGTGTGTGAAAAAGCCTAAGCGTAACGAATAACACCAAATGTGACTGAGATGCTGTCGGCGGTTTAGTATCTAATGCCGTCGGGAAGCTGTCACAGAGGCGATTTTTTTTTTTTTGGCAAAAATAGATGACGTTAACTTGTAATCTTGACAATGACGTCCCAGAAGGAGACAGCAATGTGTCATATATTGATATGGACAAACTTTCGAGAGGAAAGTCAGCCCGTGAACGAAAGGTTCAATTTCATATCATTGTATTGACGGAGGCAGGTATCATCTCATCCATCGTACTTTCCAGGGCAAAAGAAGAACCACGCAAGCTATTCGTGTTAATGTGTCAACACTTAACAGCAATTTGCAAAGAATTGTGAGCGTGATTTTTTATTAAGGTCTCGTCCGATCATCGACCCTGTCCTACATCTGGCCAAAACCTGCACCAAAACGGGCTCGATGGCGTGTGTATCGTAGACTGGTAATTATAAGGTCAAAGGTACTTATTCCTTATGAATGATCGATATCTGGGTTTTCGAGCACGCCAACTACCTCAGTCCTGTTGTTCCATTCCGCAGACAGTGCTACTCCCTGCGGCCGCAAATAAATTTTGAGGTCATGAGAGGTCATCTAGGATGAGTTGCTGTTTTGTTTTGCCCACATTTAGGGCTGGAAGTATACTAACTTGTGTGTAATGTTCTTTAACTTTAAATTTTCATCAATGTCCACGGGTCAACCCATGACTTTTAGTCCTCACTTTTCACACGCAAACTATAAAAGATAATTGAGAGGTTTTATATCCCTTCATTGCGTGCGTCGATTATGTGGTTTCATTTGGCACACGTATTATATTCTTCACTTGGCGCATGCATTACATTCTGTCATCTAGAACATTATTTTGTATTTTTGTATTTAGGGCCTGTTGGAAAACAAACCGGCACCATTTCTGGCTAACGCATGTTGTACCAAAACATGAGTCATTGACATGTGTGCTGTGGACAAGTCATACGGGGGCCAAGAACTCTTCTTTCTGTGTTGTCCCGCTGTATGTACTACTCTTTGACAAGCAAATGAAGTTTGAAGTCATCATAGGTCATCTAAGATGGGTTTTGATCCCTGGAAGCTTAAATGCTCTGCGTTATCCATTTCTAGATCCGAAGAGATACAACCTTGTATGTGAAGCTTTTACCCCTGAAGATCATCAACGTTTGCCGCACAGTCATCAACTCTAATCGTTACTTTTCGTATGCAAACTGCAAAAGCATAATTGCATGGTTTCAAATAGTTTCTTTTCATGCAATCTCCGTCACCTGCAGTATATCTTTTTCTGCGGAAGCTGGTCATAAGAATGTGACTTAATGTCGCAACATGAGGTCAAATACCTCAATGCAGCATTCTTGCTAAAAAAAAGTGTATGTGTTTCCAAAATTTTGCATGAGATTAACTGGGGTGGAACTTTAAATCCAAACATCGGTGCATAATAATGGCCGGATATGATCTTGACCTGAACTGTACTTGTCCAAATGACCTATTGGGTCAAAAGTGAGCCACATAAAATAGTGCCCTATTTTTGTATAATTCCATTCCGTCTCGACATCTCAGGGTGCGCATCTGCTCCACTCACACCAAGGCCCCGTTGTAAGCATGGTATGTGCGACCGCAGCGATCGCTCTGACCTCATAGTGGACCTATGACCACGGCGGCAGGCGATCGATGACGATGGGACAACAACCGGCAGTTCTACACCCGCGACCAGGACAACGCGACCGTCTCGTTACGGCAACTGTGCGCGCGCCCAACAAGGCCGGAATGGTGGTTCGGGTGCCTGCAGACGGGTCAGGATACCAGCTCAGGGGGCCTGCCGGCCTCGCCGCCGGCATCGCTCGGGATGAGCGCGGAGCCATGAAATTACGGCCAGGCTTACCCTGCGGGCAAAGATTATGGGCGCGATCGGCCGGCAGCTAATCTCGAGAATTATCCGGACTGTTGCGAAAATTCTCCGGAATGGCGTCCGGGCAATGCCAACATGGCGGATTTATATCGACAGATGATTGTCTTCGTACCGGGAAGAATTCCGGATGATTGTCAGTATATATCAAGATGCCTGTAATACATCTTGACCGTATTGATATGGGCGAGACGGATAATTTTTCGCCATCCATAGCTATGGCCCGTTGGCTGTGTATGGCGCATTGGAGACGAATTCGGGGGATAATTTCTGGACCCGCCAAACGTAAATGGAGAATCTCCGTAGATGGTTATCGGCGATAAGATTATTTGTCGAATAATTTTTCTCTCGGCCCGCGAACGCACTTATGTGCCAAAAGATAAGCTGTATAGACAACAGGCGTTGCCAAATTCCGAGAGAGCAGGGGATTTGGTGATGTAACGATATAGCAGTGGTAAGACTGTGACTTCGGTGAATAACAATACACCCAGGCACTCCGACTACTCACCACTGGTGCAGCATGAAAGAACGCAGGGCATGCGCGCTCGGGATTCTGCTGCAGTATGAGTAGAATGATCGGTGGAGAGTGCCGGATTTGTCCAGAATTGCAAATGCGCGATAAGTTCACAAATTAGAGTGATTGTTTTGGCTGTCAACTGAATTATAATCGTATCATTTCATTAATGAGTTATGGTTAACATCATCTTTGAGGTATATGGTACGTCAATATAGACGTGCGGTTAAAATGTGGCTTTCTGGTGCATTCCACAAGTGCAAGGAAACGTTCAAGTTTTCCTTAGGCTTTTCTGGAAATAAATCCCTGAAATACTAAAGTTTTTAGTAGCTGAGTTCACAACCTTTGCGTACAATTTTGTGTTGTGTTTTGTCCGTGTATATGCTCAATCTGTGAAAATGTGAGGATTCTGAACTTTGGAGACCCCACGGTAATGGCTTTCCTTTGTCACGATCGTTTTCGCACGCATTTTCACTCTCGGCCCGCTCGACAACATAGGCCTATCGCATGCTGAATTTTTGCAGTGCTGCCCTGCATTGATTGCATTATTTTGCCCTATCAAATGATGAAGCATATCCATCAAATACCATTAGTGGGGTCGCGTTATTCGAATCCCAACAAGGTGAGACTGATCAGTGACGCGTAGTTCGGCGCCATATCTGGTTAAGTTGTTCGGCATAGATGGGTCACGTCTGCCAACGCAGTGCAGTTAGCGTCAGCGCAGTCAGCTTCTGGAATTCTTGCGTGAGTCGTAAGCAACCAATATTTTGCCCACTTGGTCTTATCAGCAACATCCCATCGCTGTTGGTGTTATTGTCGATGCATTATTCAGCATGCTAGGGTTTATATAAAGGTTCTTCCACGTCCATGGCGCAGACCAACTACGAAGATAACGCCTTAATATCAATATGCTCATCTTTTTGACCCGATGTGTGTTTGGGTTCCAGCACAAGAGGAGATGAACGATGAACCTTACACTTCTGTGGAATGTAACATTACGCCTATGGTGCTGCATGGAAAAGACCCCATAGGGAAAATCATATATCCCTTATTTTTAGGAGTCGGCAGAGCCCTGGTCTTGTCCTGGCAGAGGCTCTTGTATGGGATATTTCATTACACTGCCTGAAGCCACTTGGTGCGAGATACGCGACACAAGCACTCCCTTGGCCTTAGCGTGTTAGTTCCAAGGGAGAGCGTCCTGTGGTACCCCTTGTATGGCGAAGGTGGGAAAAAGGCCAGTCTGCACAAATCTTTAACTGGGGCGAAACTTGTGTCTTTTATGATATGA